TTAATATTCTTTTACTGTAGTCTCTGATATAAATGGGGAAGGATTTTGTTCTGAACGCTTTGGGCAGACAAGAGAAGGAACTTAAAAATGTTGTGGAAAATGGAATTAAAACATAAGATCATTTTTGTGCAAAATTTGAAAGTAATACATAGTTTTTTCATGATATGCATTTTCATAAACTTGTAAAAGATCCCTTATAGACATGAATTTCATTGGTTTTCCAAAATTAACTTACATTTTCATTCTATTTTTAATGAATCTTTTGAATAATTCTTGTATATATCTTTCCAAAGATGTAACAGTGCAGATATTTTCCCCGGTTTTTTAATCTTGTTCTTTCCAGGCAGTCCTACTCTGTCTCTGCATTTCTGGATATGTTATTTAAATTTGCTAATCATTTATCTTTTTGTCTTGTCTTAAAAACCAATACCTTTGAAACTGTAACATTGTTTAGACCACCTTGTTGGCTTAGCAAAAAATGTGGAAATGACTTTTGGTATGTAAGAGAAGTACAAGTAACTGGAGATAGCTTTGAAAATAACCATCAGGGAACTTTTCCTTTTTAGGATATCTTTGGTCTGTTTCTGTGACTTGTAAGATCAAACTATTGACATACTCTGTGCTATATAAACATGAATGCCCTAAAATATCGACTAAAAGCATTTTCTATTTAAAATATTCATATTTGGGTAATTTGGATCCACATGAGTCGTGGTCTGCAGGCCAGGTCAAATAAATTCATTTGGTGTTCTTAGATGATGTTTTTCCTATGAAGATTAATTTGAATATAATATGGGAGTAGTAAAACTGGTAATTTCCCTGTTAAAGGTTTATTGCAAGTACTTGTATAGTGGTTTCTTTTAGGTCTGGCAACTGTAGTTGTGAGTTACTGCTCTTTATGGTGCTTTTACCACAGAGTGATCTGTTGTAGATCACTCATAATCTGTCAGTATGGAAATTAAAAAAACAAGGATTGAAAAATGTTATGGTATTCAACTGCAAATACATTTAAATTACTTGGTCATATTTTTTCAGACAAATAGTGATGAAATATATTTAAAATGGGAAAGTCATTATAGTATTATTGTGTAATGAAAGCCAAACATGAAAAGGCCAGATTGATTCAGAGTAGTGATGTCAACTGGTTGGTGCCCTCCAGTGGTAAACCTTAGATTGCGAGTCTTCCTGCATAGAGCAGAAACCTTTGGAAATCAGGGTAAAGAAAGGCAAAAATAAGTAAATAAGTAGCTAACTGACATCTTCATAGTGATGAAAGAGGACAAAATTTTAGAACATGTAAAAGAACTAACTTTTATCCATTTTAGAATGTTCAAAGGTCAGGGAGGAGCGGTGAGAGCACGTTAGAAAGATGCATTCATTGGAAGGCCAGCACTGGGCTCAGCAGTTAGGAAAGTTTAGATTCTGGCACCCTGTGAGTTAGATTCTGTGATCTTCCCCATGTGTAAAATGAGGATTCTAGGATTTCATTGTTTAAATAACCGGTCTGGGCTCTGTCAGCCACTAGCCAATGCGCTGACTCCTCCGTCATGACTGCTTCATGCTGCTTGCCTGACACTCTTACTAGTAATCACAGTGTAAGATTTTCAGCTAATAAATGAGGCTTTCAGCGTGTGTGTTTTTTCCTTTGAAACTTTAGGTGTGACCAAATCAATTACTTATTGAGAAAACCAAAGAAAATATGTAACATGCTTTTATTATTTTGGTAACTGTGTGATATTAAATATCTCTACAACAATGTAGAAAGGCTGAACATTTTAACAGAAAATACCAATACTAGATTAAATCGACTTGTAGTGCATTGAAAGTACTGCCTTACTTAAAAGCAGATTTGATCCAGGATGGTTCAGTTTCATGGATGAGATAGATTCATCTTTGGCATGCAGGAAAGTATAATGTGATATTTTATCTGTTCTAAGTAGTATTTCATGGACAAATTTCCTTCATTATAATCTCTAAGAAATAGACACTGAATTGTTAATTGTAAAGTATGCCCTTCTGTTTTAATGATGTATTAGTTATGCACAAATGGTTTAAATAGTTGAAGAGAAGCTTCTAGAACATTTTATCCTGTCAACATTCTTTCACCACAACATTATGCAGAATTTTCCAGTTGAATTTCTGCTCTCAAACCCAAACTGAAAGTAGGGGAAATATGTCCAGTTAATTTTACCAAATAAAAATACTTTTTCTGTCTCTACTTACACATTTTCACAGTTGCCTGAACCCAAACCCACATGGACTAAGAGTTGAATCTAAAATAGTTTGCTTGGAAAAATTTTTGCTGTATGATGTAATTGTCACTAAATACTCTTAGATCAACAAACTGTTAACTTTTCAATAGTTTTAAATGATATTTCTGCTAATATAAATTTTGCAAAAGTTCAACATCACATGTATTGGGATCCCAGAAAAATAGTATCTAGAATTTTATTAACTAACATAACTGAATAACTTGGGTTCTTCTGCTTAAACTCTCTCTTAATAGCCTTTGTGTCTATGCATGCTTATTGTCTTCTATTAGTTTTATACAGAATTGCTTATATAAATGCTTTACATTTTAATATTTGTGGTTATATACTTTTGCTTCATATTTATAAGTAATAATTCTTAGTTTATATGGTCATAGAAGATATTATGGCATCTTTTGCTATCAATGAAATATATTACTTTATGACCAACTTGAAAGGCAAACAAAAAATAATCATTGTTTAATCTGGAATTTACTCTAAATTATCTCAATTTTTGGTATATTACAATAATATAAAATTTGTGCTTATGTACCAATATAGACCAAACTCAGTATTAGAATAACCCTAATAAAAGGGTGTCATATGATATCTGGGGAGTGAACCTTGACAAAATGGGGTCTCAAGGACTGCTGGGAGCTAGAAATGAGGGGGCTGTTCATGCTGTTGATGCCTGGTCATAACTTTCTAGGAAGTGGACTTGCTAACACTGAGATCAGATTTAGAAACAGCATTGGATTCAGGGTATCTGTAACTAATTCATACTAACACCATAAATTAAGTAAGGTCGTGTTGACCTAAATTCCCATGGAATAAGTAGTTTAACTTCTCAGGGTTGATGGTATCCTGAATCATGGCATGTCACCTTGAGAGATCTGGGAGCCAATTGAGATTGTATTAAGACTTCACCAGTTTTCCTGCATGGAGCAATGTGCAGCTACCTTGATTCTAATAAGGTTTTACATATTTTAATTAAATTCAGAACTTATCCTGAATTTATAGTGAATTACACACATGTGTATGCATGTGTGTGTGTTTGTATGTGTATGTGTGTTTGAATGGGAGGAGGACATGGGAGGCTTCACACCAAATCATGGTGTATTGAAACAGAGGTCTTTACTTTGAACAGTATTTATGTTAACTTATTACATTGAGAATATATATTTTGCCTCAGATGTAATTCATTTCAGAGTGTGTTTGTAGAGGTTTGTCTTTTCAGGTAGATAGTGAGCCCCAAGTTGACAGTCATTGCTCACAAATAACTTTTCTTTTCTGCAGAGGGTGTTGTGAAGTGATAAACTGATTTAGCTAAATAGAATTAAATTGAATTCTAATGTATGATTCAAATTTAAATATTTTTTTAAAATATAGTATTTATTTGAAAGGCAGAGATAGAGATAGAGATGGATAGAGAATCTCCCATCCCTGATTTACTCCTCAAATGGCCACAATGGCTGGGGTGGACCAGGAGATTCTTCTGGGTCTCCCATGTGGGTGGCAGGGACCCAAGGTCCTGGGCCATCTTCCACTGCTTTCCCAGGTGCATTAGCATGGAGCTGGATCAGAAGTGGAGTAGCTGGGACTCAAACGGGCTCTCATATGGGATGCTGGCAAGGTGGAAACTTAACTTTCTATGCCACAGCGCAGGTCAAATTTAAATATTAATATTATAACTGTGTGCCCATATTTCCCTGTTGTGGCTAAACACTGATCAGTGGTTGTAACCACAACTCCAGATGGGACCATCAAAGTATTGATAGACTCTCTGTAATAGAAGACACTTGATCTCATTGTCGGTGGCAGCTCTTCCACCACCCTGATCTACTGAACAGTCCTGTCTTTCTGTGAAAGCCCTGATGGTGGACAATGGAGAGAGCTTTCAAGGACTTACTGATGGGACCCTGTTTCCTTGTCCTTTAAATTCCCTGTTCTACCAAAAAAGGCAACACATATGTATACATGTGAATGCTGTTAGTTATTTCAACTGACATGTCTCCAAAAAAGGACCTAAGCAAAATTATTAAGAAATAAAAATGAATTGATACCAACACTGTTTATTTTGGGTAATAGTCATGTTGAGTAAATTCATTAAGTGGTTGATAACAGAACTGTTTTCACACTAGTATTTTGTTAAGTTTATTCTCAACTGTACAGAATTAAGATGTTATCTGAATCTTGCTAGAGATCTTGTATACTTGGATTGAGTCATGTGAAAGACTCCAGTGCTCTGCCCTTCTGTGGATCCACATGTTCTGAGTTGTGTGTTTGTGATGGCACCAGCAAGGGACTCATCAGGAGTAAAGTTTTCTGAATATTTCAAGGGTCACTTTAGAGGAAATTATGTAGTTTCACTTATTTTTATTTAAGCTTGGAGATTGTAAGGGCTTTTGGAAATCTGAACATCATTTGACAATTTTTCTTGCATTATACATTATAAGTTATATAGAATGTATTCAAATGAAACAGCCTCATTTCAACACTTACATTGGGTTGAAGTAAGAACTGAGACTAATTTCCTCACAGCTTCTCTCTTTGACAGGCTTTATTTAAAGCTTTAATTTTGGTAGATGTTTATATAATGCTGAGTCTCATAAATGTTCTCTTTTGCAAAACCATTATTGTTAAGTAGCAGTGTTATAATATGCATGATACAACTTGTACATTTGTATTTTCTTCAAGTTAAAAAATCCCAATTATGACTTATGCTTTAATGATTTGTTTATCTCTTTATAGGGAATCCCAGGATTTCCTGGAAGCCAAGGATTAATGGGCCAAAAGGTGAGTATTAATCAAAGTGTAAAAATTTGGACCAGGATCTGCTCTTTAAAGAGTAAATTGATATATTGTTGTTTTTACATAGAGTACATCTTTACAGCAATCATGGTAAGGGTTAATTATTCAAATATGATATAATTTCAGAAGCTTTTATTTTGACTACAAATTAGTTTTTATTACTTCTACTGTTATTTTATGCTGTTAATATTATCTGGTTTTATATGACTGTGGCCTGTCTTAGTTGAATACTTTTCCGGTTTTTGTAATCTAAGATAATCTTTTTGGTATAGCTTTTTTCTTCCTGAACTATATGTTTAGATGTTCCTTTTGTACAATAATAGTAAGGTTTCAGGTTTTATTTAATTAATTTCTCTTAATAAATTCGTAATTTCTATTATCATCTGGTTGATATTGTTAACAACAAATCATCATTATTTTATAATCATTATTTTATAAGTGATATAGCCCTTTGTTTTGCATTCTTTTAAATGTATTTGTCTTTAGTTTTCTTAAAATTCACTGTGGTATGTCTTGATGTGGATTTCTTGTCATGGATCTTGTTGGAAATTCAGTTTGCATTCTAGGGCTGCAGTGTTACTTCCATTTATTGTTGGAAAAAATAGCCATTATCTCCATACTGCTTCTGCTTCATTCTATCTGCTTTCTGGAATTCTGGTTATATATATTTCAATCCATCTAATTTTATACCTCGTATCTCTTAGAAGCATCCATATTTTCATATCTTTGATTCTGTCTCATATTCTGGTTAATTTTTTTGGATATAGGTTCCAGTTTACATATTCTTCATTTTGTTTAATCTATTATTAAAAACATCAGTTTATTTAAAAAAATTATCAAGAATCATATTTATAGAAGTTTAATGACATTTAAAGAAGTTCTAAGTTTTGAAACCATATCTTTTTTGGTAGACTTGTTATATAGGAGGTGTTCACAACATTCATAGAAACCATATGTTATAAACACTCTCCACAATTTTAAATTTTTTACATGAAAAATCTTCTATTGTGTTTTTCCATATATTTTTGAAGTCCTTATGTTTTCAGCCCTAATAATCTTTCATGATTCTACTTTTTAATTTTTAAATATATTTCTAAATTATTTTTCTGACAGTTCCAATATCTGTAGTGTGTTGTTATTCCTGCTGACTCTTAGTCTTGTGGCTTGCTGCCTCTTGTTTCTTTATTGTTGGTTGTGAGCTCATTGCTTCATGCCAGCTTGTCGTTGATCTGTTATCCTAATTCTGGAATAGTGAGCTGTCTCCGGCTGATAGTCATCGTTAGCACTTTAGCTCCCTTTGGAAATCCTGATTTATCATTAGATATTTATGATTCCTGCCCTCTTAGCATGAGTGCCAACACTGTTCCCCAAGAGCTGAGCATGCACCTTCAAACATTCTTTCCCTTCTTGACTCCTTCATATGTCTGTCTTTGGCAAGATTTGTATACTCTTCCAATCCTCATAATTATGTCCTTATTCCAGGGTGTATTTTATTAAAATGAGGGATCTTTGAATACTTCCCTGCTGCTTAGAAGACCAGCACTGTCTCAAAGGCGGTGTCCTTTTCTGGACTTAAAAATTTCCTTTAGGCGCTTAGTTAGCCACAAACCAAGAAATCGAAGAATAAGTGTTGTTATTCTAAATACTAATTTTTATTAATTTAGATTTAATATTAATAAATAAATTATGTTTGATAAATAGCTCTTAAACTCTAAGATAACAAGAAAAATTTTCTCTTGATTTTTTTCCCCTGTTGTTTCGTCTTGCCAACTCTTTCTGAACTACTTGATGTTCCTTTGAAAGTATGGTATGTCACAATGAAAATATTTAATAGCAATTCCTCATACCCTAAGCCCATATCTATAAGAAGTTAAGTCCATTATTTTTTTTGCCTTGCTTTACAATTTCTTGCATTAGAAGAATGAAAGACAGGCTACTTGTGCTTATATATGCTAAATTTTCGTTCCAAAATGCTTTGATAGAAAACTCCTGGCAATTAATTGGTAATACACAACTTTTAAGTTTGATCTGTGTTTCACTTTTAGGGAGAAATTGGGTCTCCAGGACCACAAGGGAAAAAAGGAGCACCAGGAATGCCAGTATGTTAATAACTTTGTTATCAAGGTGTTTGAAATGTTATTACTTATGTGCCAGGAGTTTGTGCTCTGGGGTTCACAAAACTATAGGGATGTATCAATTAGATTTTTGGTGTTCATAAATTACACCCATTTCTATGAAAAGTATCATGTTTATGCTCATTTTCAGACTCTGAAAATGTTGACCACTGAAATTAAATTACAGATAAATCAAAATCAAATACTTTAGCTATTGATTTATTTTTTAAAAGATTTATTTTATTTATTTGAAAGACAGAGTTACAGAGAGAGGGTATTTCAAACACTAGTTCACTCCCCAGATGGCCGCAACGGCTGGAGATGCATCAGTCCGATGCCAGGAGCCAGGAGCTTCTTCCAGGTCTCCCACGCAGGTGCAGGGGTCCAAGGACTGGGGCCATCCTCTACTGCTTTCCCAGGCCACAGCAGAGAGCTGGATCGGAAGAGGAGCAGCTGGGAATAGAACCGGCGCCCATATGGGATGCCGGTGCTTCAGGCCAGGGCGTTAACCCGATGCACCACAGCGCCCGCCCCATAGCTATTGATTTAAAACAGAATACTAAGTACCATGGAAAAGTTCTAAAACTCAGTGCTTTTTCTTTTTTCATGTTTTACAAATTTATTGTGCTAATAAAGGAGAAAATGTTCAGAGTAGGTAGTACAGGAAAGGCCTAAATTAGTTAGCAAGTAATTTTACTAAGTTTTAAGACTAGAAGGGACATACGAGTTTGATACTAGAAATTATGAAACTTTTTCATTTGTGTACAAGTTTAAAAAATACTAGTTTTTACTAGAAGTGATGATGATTTTAATCTATGAATTGCCTGTTATTAGCTTTCTCTTTAAGTAAAAAATAGAGTAAATAGGAGAAATGTCCATTAAGTAAAAATTCAAGTTTTGAGGAGATTTAAAAGAAAGTACTTCCCTTTAAAATGGAATGATTTTCCTTCTATCATTGTTACCAAGTTATTTGTTAATTAAAATAATAAATTAAATTTGGTTATTCATCAGTATCTAGTCTAACCTCCAGAAAAAAAGAAAGCACTGAATAGTATCCAGTGAACTTCAAAAATATCTATATATAAATTTTTGAGTATTTTGTTCACTTTACTAGCATATTTTATATTTTATAATTGCAATATTGCATATAACATCCTAAGTTGACATAAATGCATAGTTAGTGATGCCATGCTATTGTCATTATTTTCAAATTGAGATCATACTTTCTGATGAAATTAATTGAATATTTTTTAATTATTTCTTTTGCCAAGTGTTTTAAGTGCATATAACAGTATTTACATTAGAATCTAAATTGTTATGTCCTAATTACTAGAGTAGTTATAATTGTTATTTTTTAAAGCTTTGTTTAAATATTTCAAAGGCAGAGTAACAGAGAGGGGAGACAGAGAGAGATATTCCATTTGTTGGTTCACTCCCCAAATGGCTACAACCACCAGGTCAGCACCAGGCTGAAGCTAGCAGCCCAGGACTCCTTCGAGGTCTTCCCTGTGGTTGACAGGGGCCTTCTCAGTTGCAGTAGCAGGAAGCTGGATCAGAGAGGAGTAGCCAGAATTCGAATTGGCACTTGATTTGGAATGCTGATATGGTGGCTTGGCCAGCTGTTCCACAATGCTGGTCCCCTTTGTCTTACTTTGAATCACATGATTGGTTAAAAATATGGCCATTTTGTATTTTGAAGTGTTTATTATAGTTACATAATTATTTAGATTTTACTTCTCAAAATATTGCTAAAGATAGATGTTTTAAATAAGTTGATCAAGATGATGTCCACGAGAAAGCTTTATTCTTAGATGTTGTTACACAAGGAAGAAGGTAGGCATGTAGAAAGAACTCAACTTTTTCTTTGCTGTTGTGTTTTATGAAGACTCTATTCATTTTTGCTACGTGTAGGCTTTTTGAGCAACAGCATTATCAAAGGTCTACTAAGCCTGTATTCTATCTTGCATCATTTGATTTTTCTTTACTTTTGTTACCCTCTGGAGGTATTTGTATAAATTTCCCAAATGTAGTATTGTAATTTAATGTATTAATTATTATGAAAATGTATAACTTGGAAATTGATTTAATTTTTAATTTTTTCCTCCAAATTATTCTTAAAATTCACATTTTAAAATATAGGGCTTGATGGGAATTGCCGGCTTACCAGGCCAGCCTGGAACGCCAGGATCTAAGGTAAATATAATGAAATTGACAAGATTGAGAACTTTGTACAATCACAGTGGCCATTTATAACTTTAATGACGGTTAAAATTTTTTTTATTTATTTGAGAGACAAGGAAACAGAAAGTGATGGGGGAAGGGAGGGAGGAAGAGGATGAAAGAAAGAGAGAGAGGGAAAGAGAGAGAGAGAAAGAAGGGATATATATGTGGAGAGAGTGTCCTGTGTACTGGCTCACTCCCCCAACTGCCTGAAACAGCAAGAACTGGGCCAGGCTGAAGCCAGGTCTCCTGTATGGATGGCAGGAATCCAAGCATTTGTGCTATCACCTGCTGCCTCCCAGTGGCAGCCTTAGCAAGAAACTAGTTAGGAGTGGAGCTAGGTATTGAACCCAGGCTCCAGTGTGGGATGTGGGGATCTTAACTGGTATCTTAACTGCCAAGACAAATGCCTGCCCTCAATAAGAATTTTAACTACATTGATTTTTACTATGAATGTGTTTATTATTTCATGAACAATGAGTTATAAGAATGAAGTCTTAAGGAAAAGTTCAGTATGTGAAATAGGCTAAAATAAACCAGAACTTGTGCAAGCTGGGGAGGATCCAGAAACTCACCAGTTTGTCCCTTCTTCCTTTCTGCTGTTTCACTGGGCACTTAGAAGTCCTTGCAACTCTGTGGAGCTCTGTTCCAAAACCAATGACTGAAGATAAATCTTACTAATTTTCTAGTTTTCCTTTTCTTACTTTTACTTAGTGGAATGTCTGTGAAAAAAAAATTTTGTAAAATGCCTTGTAGTAAATTTTATTAGATATTCACTCCCCTATTCCTGTGGGAAAGATAGCTTTCTTTCAGATTAAGAAAAAATAAGGTGAGCATGAAAAATATATTTAAGATATCGGTGAGGTTACTTTAAGGTGAGATGGAAACTGAATATCCCGGTTTGACTATTTTATGGGGATATGGAATCCTGTGCTATGAGGACTACTGTTTCTCTTTTGCTTAGATTTAGCCCATGAATCAGTTTACTGACTCTTGTACTAGCTTGTCTACTTCTGCCTGCCAGTTTTGCCAACTACATGTTAACCGTGCTTTCAATATCATATGGGTAGAGGTTTTAGGGTGGAAAAAATTGAATTAAACAGAGTAGGGATCAAACCAAATAAATTCTGGCTTGATTCAGAAAAATATTTTTATTCCCAACCACTTATTGAGTAGATTCAAGGAGAACCTTTCAAAAGGAAGTGACAGAATTGCTTCTTTGGAAACATATAACCTTTGAGCTGACACTGTTCCGGGGAAATTAACCCTGGCACACCAGATAGATACATAATATGATCTATTCTACTTTTAATTTATAAATTAATTATACTAACAAAATTATAAAGAGAAGAATATAGTGTTAAGGGAACCCAGCGATTAGGAAAAAGTAGCTGCTGTTTTATCAGTGTTGGACCCTTATGGTCCCTTGGAATATTATGGATCCTAATAGCAGTAGGTATAAACAGAGTTAGTTAAAACTCTTGAATGACTGAACTTGCAAAGTAGAAATTGCTCATAATTTTCTTTTAAATTTTTTTCCTTAATTAAAATTATACTTAGTGTAATGTTTTCAGTGAAGCATTTCACCTTCTTTTCATGCAATATATTAGCTCAGGTGTTGGAAATTTGTTATGCAAAGGGCCAGTTTGTAACTATTTTGTCTTAATTTTTCTGTTATGGTGCAAAATAAACATCCATGGATAAACAGATGGATATGGGCTGTGTCTGTGTTGCAGTAAAACTTTATTTCAGAAATATACAGTGACCTGGGTGGCCCATGGGTTACTAAGGATTACCCAGCAGTCTTGAAAATTAGCACACACTAAATGCTTTCTGATTCTTGCTGCTTCAAAAAGCCACTGTATATTTGCAGCTGGTTTTCTTTTCTTTAGTTTGACACTGAAGATGAGTCATACAGAAAAAGTGAAACAGTACTATGATGAGCAGTGTAAGCCCAGAGGATGTTCCTAATGCATGGCCCCTGCCTGTACGTTGTGCAGACCAAGATAATCAATATTGATCCCTAACAATTCTAACCTCATCCTTTATACATGGAGCTACCAAATTTAACACGAGGTTTTATGAGACTTATAAATGTGCAGATTTCATTTCTTTGCTAACGTTTTTCTTTTTTTAAATAATATAAGGAGAACAGACTTCATGTATTTCCTAGATACAATTCTAAGAATGATGCTTCCTTCCCACTGTCCTTCTTTTCTTTCACTTTTTTCTTTTAATTTTCGCAATAACCTTCCTTCAATTTATTTTTAATCATGATGTTAATCCCCCACTGAATAAAGTTATGCTTAGTGAAATGAGCCAGACTCAAAAAGATAAATATCATATATTGTCTGATTTATGGTAGCTAATATATAGAGTATCAAATGAATTATTGTGTATGAGTGAAGTTGACATCTTGTGATTTGATTATTGGTGATAGCCCTTGTTGGTATTCCTGCAGAACAGTGCTATTTCTGCTTTTTACTTGATGAACTAAAAGGATTTTGCTTAATTAGTAGGCTTTATGTATAAAAATATGTTTCAAATAATAGGAAAGTTGAAATATATTCCCTTCAGTGTCTGTATCATAAATATTATGACTTATTTTTTAATTTAAATTATTTTGTTCATTGGCAGGGGAGCAAAGGTGAACCTGGACTTCCAGGGACGCCTGGGGCTTCTGGGAACAAGGTAATTATGATTTGATGCAGTTGAGAATATTTTCAAAGAAATTTTACTATGTAAGTTCTCATTATTTGAGAAAATTAATGGTTTGAAATCCTTAAAGAGAGATGCATGAAATTAAAGATTACCTTATACCAAAGGAGGAAAATGACTAGTGCAGGGTTTCATTTCTATTTTTTAGGTACTTTATCATTGGGCAATAAAGATGTGAAAAAAATTTGGCTTAATTTTTCTAGAAATGGTAAAAGTGCATGCAAATGTAAATATACTCTCGGAGTCAGAGTATAAAATAGCTTAACACAAGAGTTTCGACTCTCACAGTGCTTTTAACAATTTCCTTCAAACCAAATGGTTCATGCTTATTTCTGTGGGATTTTAAGTTCTCTTTTGCCTTTTAAAAACCTAGAGGAGTATTCACTGGCTCAGGAATGAGCACAAGAAAGCAAAGAGAATAAATCTTGATTTCCACAAAAAATGATGGTCTTTGGTTAGTATGATAGAGATTTGGACTAAAGGTAAAAATAAGACAAAACCCAGGAAACATGTTCAGGATATTATATTTCATCTCTCTCTCTCTCTCTCTCTCTGTTTTTAAAGATTTATTTATTTGAAATGCAGAGTTACAGAGAGGCAGAGAGAGAGAGAGAGAGAGAAAGAAGTCTTCCATTCCCTGGTTCACTCTTCAAATGGCAACAATGGTCAAAGCTGGGCCAATCCAAGCCAGGAGCCAGGAGGTTCTTCTGGGTCTCCCACATGGGTCCAGGTTCCTAAGCACCTTAATCCATCTCCCACTGCTTTCCCAGGCACATTAACGGAGAGCTGATCTGAAGTGGAGCAGCTGGTATTTGAATCAGCAACCATGCGGGATGCCAGCACTGTGGGTAGCAGTTTTACCCACTGTGCCAACAACACCAGCCCCTATGTTTCATCTTTTATAGATAGATCCTAAAAATTGTCAAGGCATCATCCATTTACACTTGCATGGATTTTTTTACTTAAAAATTCTTTTTTTTTTTTTTAAATATCTTAGTTTCGGAAAGAAAACTCCTGTAGTATGATGGAGGGTGGGGCAATTGAGTTAGGATAACTTATACAAGATTTCCTTTTCTGAGAATAGCTCAAACGTTTATTTCTAAGAAAATGATATTCTGTGTATATGAAGAAAACTAAATATGCATAAATTTAACTATAAGGATATCTATCCCGTCACTGTTTATAAAAATATAAATTTTGAAAATCAATTTTAAACATTAGGAAATTTATCAAAAAAAGTTAACCTATACAGTTAAATATTCTTAAAATTAAAAATCATATTATAAAGATACATAATGACTATGAAGGAAAATCACAGTATTATTATATTTTGAGATTAAAAGACGTCAAATTGCGCACTTAGGGTGAATGTACTTAATAATTGAATATGTGTGTGTCCGACAAAAATTATCATAAATGAGAACAGTGGATGGTGATATTATAAATTTTTTTTTTGACAGGCAGAGTGGACTGTGAGAGAGAGAGACAGAGAGAAAGCTCTTCCTTTGCCATTGGTTCACCCTCCAATGGCTGCCGTGGCCGGTGCGCTGCGGCCGGTGCACTGCGCTGATCTGATGGCAGGAGCCAGGTACTTATCCTGGTCTCCCACGCGGCTGCAGGGGCCCAAGCACTTGGGCCATCCTCCACTGCACTCCCTGGCCACAGCAGAGAGCTGGCCTGGAAGAGGGGCAACCGGGACAGAATCCGGCGCCCCGACCGGGACTAGAACCCGGTGTGCCAGCGCCGCGAGGCGGAGGGTTAGCCTATTGAGCCGTGGCGCTGGCCGATATTATAAATTTTTATTACTTTTATTTTTCAGTTTGGTAACATGAAAATAAGTTTTCTAAAAATAGCAATATGAGAAAAAGGAGTTTGGAGAAAGAATAGAAATTATTAGTAAATAGGTAAACAAAAAGAAATACATGTTTATTGTTACTTGTTTTGTTGTTGAAGATTTAAAATAACAAACATATAATTCTGAAGTGTGGAATGCTTTTAATTGGCAAAGACAGGGAAAAATGCAGAAAATTTTATTGGAACCCTAGTAAACTTTTTATTCTTTATTATTTCTGTAGTAATGATTCTCATTGTCAACAAATATTTAACCATCTGTTGTAAGTTTGATATATTATATAAGAGATAAAAATCATTGGTATTTTTTCATAAGTAGTCGGTCTATGATCTTTTTGAAATTTGTGTGTTATCCAGGGAGAGCCAGGAGCATTGGGCCTTCCAGGAGAACCAGGATACATGGGCTTACCTGGGATTCAAGGAAAAAAGGTATGCATAGTTTAGAAAACAGAAATCACTTTTTAAAATGTCATGAATTTTGAAGAGAGGGAAGGAGCAGGGGGAGACAGAAGAGATAGAAATATCTTCCATCCTTTAGCTCACTCCCCAAATGCCCATAACAGTCAAGGCTGGGCTAGGCTAAAACCAGGAGCCTGAAACTTCACCTGAGTCTCCCACATTGTGGCAGGAACTCAAATACTTGGACTATCATGTGCTGCCTCCAAGGTACATTAGGAAGAGGCTGGATTAGAAGCAGAGGCAGGACTTAAACCATTATTTGCCCATGTCTCAAGCAGTGGCTTAACCCACTGTACCACAATACCTGCCCCTAGGTTTCTCTTTTGTGAATGCACGTAGCAGATTTGGTTGTTTTTTAAATGATTAACACCCAATGTAAGTGATGTGTGTGTAATGTGTTCAGCCCATGCTAATAACTCTGGCTCCTTTTATATCCCTGAGTGGGCATTGTCTTCTAGATGAAGATCTTGGGAGAGGAATGCAAATCAGAAAATATAAATGTATAATTAAGTTATACCCTGTGAATTCAAATTTTTTCAGTCAATTCAAGTGAATTATAATTTTTTTAAAAGTCAGTTTCAAACATTCTTACCAAAATAAGAATATCACTCTTACCAAAACTGGGACAAAATTCTGAATATAAAAAATTATACCTAAAATGTTTTGCCATGGAGCAATTATGTCACAAATAAGTTCATTTAAAATTCATTTAAAAAGTTTAAATTGCAAATCATATATATTGATTTGAAATATTTGGTGAGGTAAGATAGCAATATGAGATATTCTCTGTCTCCCTCTCTCTTTCTCTCTCTCTCTTTCTCTGTGTCTCTTTCTTGCTATCCTTAGTTTTTGGTAAAGTATCAGCATGCTAAGCTGTATCTGTACAAATATTATTTGTTTAAAATTTTTGAGGAACAGCTGATGCTTGTGTGCCAACGTCCATACTACTGCATGTACATTCATTTCCAGCTAAAAGTACTTGTAAATATGAGGCAGCATCAAATAATCGGTGAGAAAGATGGAATTAAAAGATAAAAACTGTAACCTTTGTTTCTCAGTATAAGCTCCATCAAGTTCCAGACACTTTTGTCAGTGATAGTATTAGCCATTTACCCCATCCATAAAGAACTGAGGAGTCCTGGAAATTTACAATGTAGTCGAAGAAAATGGTACAGGACACAAAAGTAAGTCAGAAGAAGCTAAAGAAAAACTTAAAAAAAAAAAAAAAGGCCGGTGCCGCAGCTCAACAGGCTAATCCTCCGCCATGCGGCTCTGGCACACCGGGTTCTAGTCCCAGTCGGGGCGCCGGATTCTGTCCCAGTTGCCCTTCTTCCAGGCCAGCTCTCTGCTATGGCCCGGGAGTGCAGTGGAGGATGGCCCGAGTGCTTGGGCCCTGCACCCCATGGGAGACCAGGAGAAGCACCTGGCTCCTGCCATTGGATCAGTGCAGTGCGCCGGCCACGGCGGCCATTGGAGGGTGAACCAACGGCAAAAGGAAGACCTTTCTCTAGGTCTCTCTCTCTCTCTCTCTCACTGTCCACTCTGCCTGTCAAAACAAAACAAAACAAAACAAAACAAAACAACAACAAAAAAAAACTTTAAGGTACATGCTTAGTGATTTCCCATGGAAACTCTCACAAATTTGGCCTTGTTTGGTATGAGGGATGAGCAGAGCATTATTGTGGTCAGTCAGGACTCCGATGAGGTTTCCCTGGAGGTTTTCTGCTGAACCTCTGGCTGGCTTGCTCGAAAGGCCTTCCTCATAAACAGTTATTATTGTTCTTTAGTCCCCAAGAAGGTAAACAAGAAAAATGCCATGAACATCCTAACAATTTCTTGTCTTTTCGCTTCACTTTCTGCTTTCGCTAGGATTGGACTGCTTCTTGATAGCCATCGCTTTGGTTGTACTAAAGGATTGTACTAGTAAAGCCATGTGTAAGCTTTTGTTATGATTCTTGGAAGAAATGCTTCAGGATCTTGATTCCACTTGTTAAAAATGTCCGTAGAAAGGTTTCTTCTTGTCTGCAGCTTATCTGGGCACACCTGTTTTGGCATTCGTCAAACAAAAAGCTTGCTTCTCGGTCAGAACTGTGTAAGCTGAATCAGTTAAAAAATGCCTATGGTGCTGGCTTTTGTATCTGCTGTTAATCATTTTGCCCTATTAAATGAGGGCATGAACAAGATTAATTTTTCTTCATTAATTAATTTGGTCAATTGCTATGGGCTTCAACATCATATTCATCTTTTCATAAAACAAGTTATACATTTGTAAAGTTCTGATTTCTTTGTGGTGGTCCGAAACTTTTCGTCTAGCATCAGTGATTTCCCCATTCTTTGAACCAAGTTTCAGCTTAAATTGGATATTTGTTCTTACTTTAAGTTTATGATCCATGATGTTCTGATAGAGGCGCTTTTCAACCTGATGTCAGGCTGATCTCTGATAAAGTTAAGTGCCTCAAACTGTTGATTTTGTAACAAATTAATGTGCATTGATTTTTGTGGAAAAAAATTTCAAGTACATGTATAATGCTTTCCTAATATACATTTCATATGCAGCATGAACCTTGTCATTTTTGTTCAAAAGAGCTATTGGAAGCATGAGCCGAGACAGGGGTTGGCCTGTCAGCAGCGGTTAAGCATTAGATTCTTGGTGAATGTTAGCTAAATCTGTGAATACATACCTGTGTTAAAAAGAATTTTCTGATTTAAAATTTTAAATTTTAAAGAAAATCTATATTTTTTCTGTAAACACAAAAGTTGATTGTTTAGCTATCATGGTAAGATACAAAGAAAGTTTGGAGAAGGTGTCTAAATTCAATTTCCTGTTGTAACCAGCAGTTTTATTATCTGTGAAAATGAGGGCATTGTTCTGGTTGATCTCTAATTTTCCTTCTAGATGAGAAATTCTATGAAACTTATCATTATGGAATATGAGGTTTCCTCTAGAAGCTCAGTTTTGGAGTGTATATTTTCTAAAATACCACTTAAGCATTGTGTTTTACTTTGTCATTTTTTCCTATAAACTTGTGGCTACTGTTAGGTTAATGGAAGATTTCCAATTTGATTTTATAAAACAGCATTTGTCGAAACAAGTTTTCTCATTTGTTTAATATCAGATGATGAACAAAATGAAAAATTTTATTCTTCCTGATAAAATTGAAATGGTGGTAAATTTGCGTTTGCATGTAGGAGCACAAGAAACTGTTCTTTTAGAATATAATTTTGACATAATGTGGTTTTTTTGTTTTCCCAAATATTGTGTTAAGAGTCAGCTTCTGTATAAACAGGCACTTGTGGAATTTGTATGAAACCTTACAGTTTTTTGTACTGAAGAAAAACATGTTTGTTTGAAAGAATACAGAATATAGTAGATTATAATACACATTAAACTGTCCTTTTGCAGGGAGACAAAGGAGATCAAGGTGAAAAAGGCATTCAGGTATGTTGTGCGCATTTCTTTTTTGTTTGTTTTAGTAATAAAATTGGGGCTTTTTAAAACTCTTACATCGTTTTCTAATTCCTTTATTTTTTCCCATGAATGTCTAATTGTTCAACCCCCCTCCTTTTTTTTTTTTTTTTTTTTTGCTCTTCAGCTTCTCAGACAATAGCAAATATAACTTAAATATTCCTCACCTTTTCACTGCAGTAGACAACTTGGGAACCAAATAATTAAACAAAGCAAAACAAAAATCTATATATTTGAATATCTATAGTGTTTTGTTTCTAAAATGATTTTAAATTGCTTATCTGAAAAACGGATCTGACAAGAAACAATACCAAATATGAAGCATATTCAAGTTGATACAATTATGAAAGGTGTAGGATTTCTGGATACATTTGGGAGAAATTTCAAATTGAAATAACAGTCAAAAACTGTTAAGTTCACACTCTTAATAGTCCCTCCTCATGAATTTATTCTTTTAGAGTAGCATGACAAAATTCAGTTGTTTTCCAGGCAATTTTTTATTGAAGGTATTCCTATATTATTATAATGAAATTCCTTTAAATTAATTTTGAAGTAGGAATAAGGTAAGGTTTACATCTGTGTGCATGCTCCAGTTTCTATCTCAGTAACTTGTTGAAAACCAAACTTGACATCTTTCTCCATAAATAATTTCCTACTTGTAGATTCCTTTTCATAGTGTTTGGTGTTACCACACAGTCAATCCCTCTTCCCCACTTCAGAAAAAAATCTTGGAAGGCATCCTAAAACCTAGCCTGCTTGCTTCACATTCAGTTGTTCTATGAGCCCTAAACATATTTTGAACTTGGTCCCTTCTCCCTGTCCCCACTGTCCTAATCATTTTGGGTCAGGGATCCTGGTTTACTGTAACATTCTTGTAATCAGTCTCCGTGAGTCCAATCAACTCTCTTCCTCCTCCCACTTTACCAACATGCAGTAGCTATGCCATGTGTCTGCTTAGGAATCCTTTAATGATGCCTCACACAGTTCAAAGTCAAGTCTGTGCCATAATTTGCCTGCTGGTTTGACTGAATCTTCTTCATTAGTGTGATTTCTTGCCAAGCTACCCACACACCTGCCCACCTCTGCTGTGCTCTTTCAGCCAAAAGGAACTACAGGTACTTGCCTGTGTCATGCGTGTCTTCTGCTTGGTACCACATCTTCATTGTCCCGGTTGTATACTTCTTACTCAGCTCTCAGGGCTGTGTTCAAGAGCGAGATACATTCCCTGCCCCCTCTGTCAGGTGCCCCATTTTAATTTTTAGTAGTATGCTGCACACACATTTAATTATGCATTGTACACTTTTATGTCAGTGTTTGCATCAGTCCTGATTTAGTTGCTCATCTTTCCACATCCTGGAACATAAGCAACTTGAAAGCAACAATGATGTCCCTGAGTTCCAGAAAATGGGTACTGCTCAATAAATATGGACAATTCAGTTATATAATTAAAGAATAAAATACAAGGCAAGACCAATTTAAAAGTTTAGTTACTAGATCTTTCACTGATTATATTATCTAAGAGTGTTGTCCTACAATTTAATTATCTTCCACAAGATGGGGATGAAGTAGTACTTCAGGATTTAGTGTAATCACTCTTTATATAGTGGTTATTCAAAAATATTTATTGAATCACAACACATGATAATTACTACAACACAGCTCTCATCAATTCTCTTGTTAATGTGATATTAATGCACAGAGAACAGATCCCATGAGGTTCATAGATACAACTGTAGGAGTATAGTTTGCTGTACCCACAAAACGAATGAATGTAATAATAAATTACTTAAAAAGCAAAAAAAAATTAAAAAAATATTATTGAATCAACAAATATGTTTATGTACTTATTAATTCTCTCTAATTTGGCTTTACTTAAAAATCTACACTTAATTTCTTGCTGGAGGAGAACAATATGGCTTTAATTTTATAAAAGAAAACTTTTAAGAGGTTTGCTTTTCTTCACTTACCCATAGTCAACACTGAATGTAATCGTGTCACGAATTGATAAAAATTTTCACATCCATTGAATTTTAATGCTATTTTCATGTTATTAATATGGATTCAGCAGAATGCTCTCATTCTTTAAAATTATTTATGTGTTCCTCTGAAGTCAGTAGTTTTTTCTTTGTGTCCATTTTGACTACAATGTTAGGTTGACTTTGTTTTCACTTTGCCTTTTTTCTGAAGTAGCTAACTTTCCCATCTCTCACATAATTTATATGTTTGCATCACTGCTTTGGTAACATGTCTTTCAGACTTCAAGATAGTATAAAATTTATATTGTATATGTGATTATATCATATTTGTGCTGATTTATTATTTATTAAATATTAAAGGGTCCAAAAGGAGAAAATGGAAGACAAGGAATTCCAGGTCAACAGGTATTTGGTTTTGTTTTTGAATATAAAGGAGATAATAAATCCTATAATTCAGCAATTTTCAAATAAAAGTGAGTGAAGTAGGGGGTCGGGGTAATATGTGTCCTAAATATGAAAGGTTGAAAATGCTAGGTGGGGTGCAATAATGCTTTTTGTTTTATGAGAAGTTACTTTAAAAGGTTCAGGGAAACATGGATAAAAGATCAACTTATTTTGGTGAAAAATATTTAAAATTAATACATAATTTCCACGCATTTTTGAAGACCTGTGGTATTTTCATTTTCTGATACTGAGAACATTGGAATTTGATTTTCAGGGTTTCTTCTGGCCAAGTAGATGATGGAAGGTGACAATTCCACCTCGTTCTTGAAGAAGTCATTGGTCAGAAACAGCCAGCGCCACCATGGCAGCATATCTGCTGTTTAGTCATGTTTTCTTTTGCAGTGTGAGCAGTTGGAGCCACGTATAGTGGAGGAATGTACTAGTTCCTTCCAGTTTCTTCAGAGATAGAATTTACTTCTTTAGAGACTAACTAAAATGCCACGCAGAGGGACTGGGTTATGAAAAGATATGTAATAAGATTATTTTGCCTTTTCCCTGACTAAACTCTCCTCATTAGGTAATGTTTCATTCAGTTTGCCATGTCAGAGTCAAATTGAATCAAAAGAAACATAGATGTACTTAGTATGTATGTAGCATGTTATAGTTTCAGATGTTGACCTCATTCCCCCTAAGTCTGAATTGAAATGTCAAGCTCTGCATTTGGGTTCTCCCATAAAATAGAGCTGTTTCTCTGAGTATCAGTGGGAGAACGATTTAGCAACTATACCAGCTCAGAAGGTGGGGTTTAACTGTGTAGGAATGTCTCCGAGGATGAGGGTCTCCGTATCCATCACTTGAAGATTGAGAGATACCAGAGGGCAGAGTGTTTGACATGACATCAGGATTGTTTACAACACAGGATGGAAACTGAGGGCTAGGTTTGAGGAGGAGTTGAGAATTAAAAAGCTAACAATTAAGAGCATAAGTAAAGGAGAGGAGGAATTAATCAGGTTTACCTACATAGAATCATGTAATTATTTTATGTTCGATGGAAAATATCCACAAACTCAAACCAACTTGATGACACAACTGAACCTGTGCCTATTCCCCTCTCTCGCAAAAGATTTTCAGTTCCCCTAAATTAATCACACCATCTCTATAGACAGCTGTTCTCATAGGATCTTCACCCATTTATCCATTCAACCCCGGAAGCTAATGCCCTTCACGGAACATTTTGGAATAATTATCCTAGGTCCTTTGGAATTTGAGCTCAAGCTTAGCTAGCCACTAGCTGCCATTCATTTGTTTTTCTCTCACTTTTCAAGCTAAATAGCCAATGTTGCACCCCTAATGCAGAAATGATTTGGGTTCCATAGAAAGCTGTGTCCTTGACTTGTTGGAAACAGCATTTCCCACAACCAGGAAACTGAGCCTACATGCAGTACCCAGGGGCAAGAGCAGCTGTAGCTTTTCAGCAACCCTAGCTTTGACGTAAACAGTCTTCGTGTCTGTCAGCATATCAAGTGCTGCACGTGTGTAATGTTTTGGCCCTCTTTGTGAATAGAGTCCAAGTGAATATTTCTCTCACAAAATCATCTTAATGTATTCTTGGATGTGAGCTGTTTTCAGTTTCAAGCTCTAATTCTGTTCTTATCCTGAGAACTTAACTGTTTTATATTTCATCTTAGGTTGGCTCTAGTTGTAGGATTATATCTGGAACAGATAGTCTCTGTATTTCTTTAGGGGGAAAAAAAAGCAATATTTAAAGAATGGCTTTAAAGAGTGTTTTTCACTCACAAAATTGATTTCTTAGGACCAGAAATGTTTCACATTTCAGATTTTTTTTTTAGGTTTGAGTGTTTGCATATGCACATACTGTAGAAAAGACTCAAGTCTAAACATGACATTTATTTATGTTTTATGTACTGTATACCCATAGCCTGAAGATAATTTTGTAAAGTTTTAAAAATAATTTAGTACATGAAATGAAGCTTCACACATGAGGTCAAGTGTTGAATTTCCTACCCTGTTTGTCACATAGTGCTCAACTATTTCAGATTTTGGCTTATTTGCATATAATATTTTTCACTGGATATGTTCAAACTGTAACAGATTTCTTTTATTATTTTTTAAAGATTTATTTATTTACTTGAAAGTTAGAGTTAAACAGAGAGAGAAGGATGCAGAGAGATAAAGAGAGGTCCTCCATCCACTGGTTCATTCCCCAGATGGCCGCAATGGCCAGAGCTGGGCTGAACTGAAGCGAGGAGCCAGGATCCAGGAACTTCCTCTAGGACTCCCATGTGGGTGCAGGGGCCCATGGACTTGGGCCATCCTCCACTGCTTTCCCAGGCCACAGCATAGAGCTGGATCAGAAGTGGAGCATTCAGGACTCGAACTGGCACCCATATGGGATGCCGGCACTGTAGGAGGCAGCCTTACCCGCTATGCCACTGCACTGGCACCAGTAGATTTTCATACAAAAACTAAATATTTGCTATTTTATGCTTACATTTTAATTTGATATTTTGTGTTTCTTTGTGACACATGGTTACCCACGTTGGTCTTTTCTTTGTCTGAGATGTCTAAGGAACCTGAAAATAAATCAAAAGATATACCCAAAGTCAAACTTTATGGTGTGAAATGTTATACATGGAATTTAATGTTTTGTGGAACAACAATTTTTATTTGAGTAATGAAAACCTTTCTGTGTATGTAGAAGTAGAATCCCTTCTCTTTAACTGATAACTGGGTGTTTTTAGAGCCTAAATGTACAATGAATTTAAATAGTGTAGAATTTTACTGTCCTTCCTGAATGTTATCTCAATATTCCATTGAAATGAATTTGAAAGAGATGAAATGGAAAAAAATTAATAGTTATTCAGATCTATCCAGTTATTATGATGAGTGAACTTCATACATGTGTCCTAGTGTTTACATAACTAGATAAATACCATATTTTAAATTATATGATTTCTTTAATCTCTTCCTTATCTACAATGAGTAAAGTAAGCACAGGAAAAATAGGTGTTTTCGCTCCTATTAATAACATTTAATGGTATTTTTAACTCATTCTTTATCAATAGTTCCCAATCAAAATTTAATATTAAGAACCAATCAGGGAGTTTTGTAGGAAATGTATATTATGAAAAAATATGTATAACACATAAAAATTTTTTGCTTCCAAGTTATTTTTTAATCTAATTTTTCGTGAACTTTTTGAAGTTCACTTGTGAACTTGAAGAAACATACTACTCAATTGCAGAAAAAAATTAGTATACCTTATATTTAAACTGATTAGTGTTTATTTTCATTTCATTTTTGACAGGCAGAGTTAGACAGTGAGAGAGAGAGAGAGACAGAGAGAAAGGTCTTCCTTCCGTTGTTCACCCCCAAAAGCTGCTGCGGCCGACCCGCTGCTGATCTGAAGCCAGGAGTCAGGTGCTTCCTCCTGGTCTCCCATGTGGGTGCAGGAGAGAGAGAGAGACAGAGAGAAAGGTCTCCTTTCCATTGGTTCACCCCCCAAATGGCTGCTAGGGCCGGTGGTGCTGTGCTGGTTCCGAAGCCAGGAACCAGGTGCTTCCTCCTGGTCTCCCATGCATGTGCAGGGGCCCAAGCACTTGGGCCATCCTCCACTGCACTCCTGGGCCACAGCAGAGAGCTGGACTGGAAGAGGGGCAACCAGGACAGAATCCGGCGCCCCAACCAGCACTAGAACAAGGGGGATTAGTCTAGTGAGCCGTGGCATCGGCCAAAATAATAATATATTTTAAAACCAATGGAATCCCATTCTAACCTACCTGGTTTAACTTGCAACATAGGAAAATATTGGTATCTTAGAATGAAAAAATAATGCAAATTAAATTTTATGTTATGAGTTAACATTTTCTAGTTATTAGCCTTATTAAAAAGACAAAAAAGTCTTATATAATTTTTTTTAACTTTTATTTGATGAATATAAATTTCCAAAGTACGATTTATGGATTACAATGGCTTCCCCCACATACCGTCCCTCCCACCCACTACCCTCCCCTTTCCCACTCCCTCTCCTTCCATTCACATCAGATTCATTTTGATTATCTTAATATACAGAAGATCAGCTTAGTATACATTAAGTAAGGATTTCAACAGTTTGCTCTCACCCAGAAACATAAGTGAGAAATAATAGATGATTTTTTTTTTAAATGATGATGAAAATCAGACCTATTGTCATGTTTAATCCCAGTGAGAGTCAAATTGGGAGCTGATAATTTCTTCTTTTCTTTTTTTTTTTTTTCCAGAGGATCAGTTAGTAGCATGTAAGTAAAGATTTCAACAGTTTGCACCCCCATAGAAACACAAAGTGAAATATATTGTTTGAGTACTCGTTATAGCATAATCTCAATACACCAGCACATAAGGACAGAGATCCTACATGAGGAGTAAGTGCACAGTGACTCCTGTTGTTGACTTTACCAATTGACACTCCTGTCTATGGCATCAGTAGTCCTCCCTATGCTCACGGCCAGTGAGTTTCCAAGGCTATGGAAGCCCTCTGAGTTCTCCGATCTTATCTTGTTTAGACAAGGTCATAGTCAAAGTGGAGGTCTCCTCCTCCCTTCAGAGAAAGGTACCTCCTTCTTTGAAGACCTGTTCTTTCCACTGGGATCTCACTCGCAAGACACTCTGGCAAAAGTCTTATATAATTTTGACACTTATTCTATAATTATTTTCCAAACAGAAAATTAAAGTTTGATTGAATATTTGGTAAAGATGCATGGCATATTACGTAGCTTGTGCATTTATTCTTTTTCTTATTAATTTTCAAAGGGAATTCAAGGTCATCCTGGTATGAAAGGAGAGGTATGTTCCTTCATATATTATGCTTCGTTTTAAAAAGAAGTATTTATTTTTTGAAAGGCAGAATGATGAGATGAGAGGAGAGAAATCGAAAGAGAGAGAGATATTTCATCTGCTGGCTCATTCCCCCAGATGGCTGCAATTGCTAGGTCGTGCCAGGTTGGAAGCTAGGAGCCTGGAACTCCTCCCACATGGATGGAGGGGGCCCAAGCACTTGGACATCTTCTGCTGAATTCCTGGGCTCATTAGCAGAAACTGGATCAGAAGTGTAATAGAGACTCAAACTAGCCTCTGATGTGGGATGCTATCATTGCAGTGGCAACTGAACCTGTTGGACCATGACATCATCCCCTACATAGACCTTGTTGTTGGGTTTCTGATCCTGTAAATCTAGCTTTTCATTTTTTTTTTTTTTGACAGTCAGAGTGGACAGTGAGAGAGAGAGAGGCAGAGAGAAAGGTCTTCCTTTCCGTTGGTTCATCCTCCAATGGCCGCTGTAGCTGGCGTGCTGCAGCTAGCGCATTGCGCTGATCCAAAGCTAGGAGCCAGGTGCTTCACCTGGTCTCCCATGCGGGTGCAGGGCCCAAAGACTTGGGCCATCCTCCACTGCACTCCCGGGCCATAGCAGAGAGCTGGCCTGGAAGAGGGGCAACCAGGACAGAATCCGGCGCCTGACCAGGACTAGAACCCTTGTGCCGGCGCCGCAGGCGGAGGATTAGCCTATTGAGCCGTGGTGCTGGCCAAGCTTTCATTTTGTAAACAGAAAGTATCTTTCGTATTCCTCAGTAGAATTTCCAAATTAGTGAGTATATTACACTGAATTTGCTATAAAATCTAACGTGTTTTCCAATATTTTTGATTCTCTTTCTTGAATGAGAGTTGAATTTTTTCCTGCCTCATTTTTCAGTAAAATATTGTACATTTCTGCATTTGTCCCACTGGACAGAAGCATCTTTGGAACAGGACTATGCCACATTTTTGCTATATATCTAGCATTTACCTATTACTTATACAATACTCAATAAATAGTGGCTGTTTATAGGGCTGGTGGCTGGGTGTATGGATAAATGACAGTTTAATAGCATTTGAAAATTTTTCATGATCACTGGTAGTATTTTCACATACATACATTTACACACACACATATACATGCTCTGTTATATCCTTAAGGACTTTTAGATGCAATTGTACTTTAGGAAATGTTTACATTTAACATTAAAAGATTTTTGTACTTTAGAGAGGTGAAAATGGAGAGCCTGGTGTCAGAGGTGCCATTGGACCCAAAGGAGAAACTGGGGTGGATGGCTTGATGGGGCCTGTGGTCCCAAGGGACCACCTGGGGAACAGGTCTCAGGGACCTCCAGGATTGGATGGGAAAACCTGTACGTACTCGTTTCTTTCACAATTTATGTATTTTCATGCTTTTACTTGGTGTGCACATTTGATAACACTGATAATTTGATGCAGGGAAGAGAATTTTCAGAACAATTTATTCGCCAAGTTTTGCACTATGTATTAAGAGGTAAGTGTCAAGCATAGAGAACTGAGCAACTTTTTTCAAGTATAAAGTCATAGATATTATTGATTAAGTTGTGTATGTATTAATTAGATAAATTAAAAAGTAGAAACTACAATTGGTATCTATTTTATATATGTGCTATTTTTAATACCTTTTTATAAAACAATTTATCATTATGACACCATTATTAAATTTTATCTGCAGCATAATTTTATATCTGAATTAAAATATGATGTCTAATCGACCAGTTTCTTTATGAGGGCACTTGTACTTTTCCCTGGTTTTAAGCAATCACTGTAATAAATTTGTTATACAGGGCACTGGTATTTCCATGTTTTTTTTTTTCTTTAAA